TATATAACGTATGACTATATAACGTATGACTATATAGCGTATGATTATATAACGTATGACTATATAACGTATGACTATTTAACGTATGATTATATAACGTATGATTATATAACGTATGATTATTTAGTAGAATAAATAACGTATGACTATATAACGTATGACCATATAACGTATGACTATATAGCGTATGACTATATAACGTATGACTATATAACGTATGATTATATAACGTATGATTATATAACGTATGACTATATAACGTATGACTATATAGCGTATGACTATATAGCGTATGACTATATAACGTATGATTCCCCTCTGGGATCAGTGAAGTGTTTCTGAATAGATTGTTTGAAGGCCAGCGTGTGCGCTCGCTCGCTCGGTCTCTTTAAAGCCTGCTGTCTGTCTTCAGGTGCACCTGAACGGCGTGAGCCCGGAGCTGAGCCAGGCCGCTCTTCAAGCTTTAGGCTTCTGCGTGTATCATTCTCACGTCGTCGCCGGAGTCTCCGGTAGTTCTTCTGTTTTATTTGACCACAAATCATCGCCTCAGATTCTGTCACTTCAGCTCAAATCCCGTCTGCGCTGATTTTCAGAGACCTTTGCTGCTCAGATTCTGTCCACACTTTGCTCCTTGGTGATGACGTCAGCTGATAAGAACACCTGCACCAGAGCATTGTGGGTCATCTCCAAGCAGAACTTTCCTCCTCAAGTGGTCTCCAAAAGTGTGAGCGTCAGCAGCTGTTTGATTAAAAAACAAACATTTGATGGAGCTTGTTCAGCTGTGATGATTTTATTACATATATTTAAATGTATTCTTGTTCTTTTGCTCAGGTGCCGACTGTGCTTGGTGCTCTTCAGAGTGTGTGGAACAGAGAGGACCTCCAGTCTGCAGTGATGGAACATGAAGCTCTGAACGTGGTCATCAGGTACAACCTTGTTTCAAGTTCTAAACGGGGGGCAGAACCTTTGAGTAATGTCTGAGCCTTGCTGCTCTTCCACTTGGTCTCTTGGACACATTAAACATCTACCTTCCTTCTCAGCATCATGTCAGCCAGCTCTCTACCTTTGCCTGTCATTGTCCCCACATTCAGAGTTGCAACCCTCAGTCCTTCATTCTTGAATTTCATCTTCTCCTCTGTCTCCTGACACGTTTCCTTCCTCGTGGTCTTCAACGAACAGCAGCTCAGTTTCTACTGGCACCCTGTTTGTCAACACCGGTCGTTGTTAACCCGGGCCTCGACCGATCCCGTGTCAGAATCTCTTATTGGTCGAGTTTGTGTGGAATATTCTCAATCCCACCATCGTCTGTGATGGGGGAAGCTGAAGAAGTTCTGTGGCGGCAGCGCTCCGATGGTTGGCGTCAGGTAGTCTTGTAGCTGAAGCGTGTGTTGGTGAGCGCCTGCTCCTTCTGCCTGCAGGATGTTGGAACAGGTTCCAGCTCAGATGGGTGGTGAGGCGGTGGCGTGGGCCAAGCTGGTGGTCCCGCTGGTGGTCCACTCTGCTACCAAGGTGCGTCTGCGTGCAGCAGCAGCCTTGGAGATGGGCGTTCCTCTGCTCCTCACCAAACAGGCCGAGGTGGCCGCAGTCATCGAACCTCTCATGTCCTCGGTGAGTTCTGTTCTCGTGTTTGTCCTGTGGAATCAGCTGAACGACGGCGGCGGACAGCGACGTCTTCACCTGTGTGTCTGACTAGAATCAGGACTTTTTGTCTACTTTGTAGATTTGATGTGAGGTTAGAGGAAGTGACTGTTCTCACATTTTCCCACAGAAACTGATCCCAGAGCTGCAGAAGCTCTTCATGTCCAAGAACGAGACGAACGTCTTGAAGCTGTGGTCGTTGTTCGTCAAGCTGCTCGGGAAGGTAACGACTGTACGATGGTTCCTCTGCTGCTTCTGACCATGGTCAGGAACATCACATCACGGGCCCAGCTCACCGTTAACATCACAACCATCTTTGTTTAGATTTATTATTATTATTAATATTATTATTATTAATATTATTATTATTAATATTACACGCCTCTCTACAGACGGATGTATCACGGTGCAGTCTCCATCTGAAAACTTTGTCCTGTCCCGCTCAGATCTTCTGGTCCACTTAAGATAATTTAACAAAAGTTGAAAGACGTGACCGAGTGTCCATACACCTTTCATCATCCCAGCTCTAAGGTCAAGGTCACAGACCAAGGTTATTTAAGGTCATTGCTTGTCCGTGTCGTTGGTACACCTTGCTGTATGTACGATGTTTGAGGCACTCTTGGTTTCTATCAGGCTTCTGTAGACGGATGGTATTACAGTAATCCCTCACTTATCGTGGAGGTTGCGTTCCAGACGCCCCCGCGACAGGTGACAGAAGTAGGGGCGTTATATTTATTTTAGTATTTATATATGTATATTTTAAGGCTTTATAAACTCTTCCTACACTCTTGCAGTGTTCTTAACGTTCTAAACGCTCTAGAAGAACACAGCGTGTCATGATCGCCGCTCGCTGCCACGCCCACTCATGCTCGTCACTCTCCCACCTGTGCACCTGGGCGCTGCACGTCCTCAGCGCTCCCCGGTCTCCGCCTCTCCACCAGACTGATCGCCTCGTGCCTCAAGTATCCAGCATTCTTGTTCCTAAAGACTCGGTTCGGGTCGCGCTTCATTCTTTTAAATAAACAATCCATGCTGCTTGTGCGGCTCACTCAGGTGTACGACACCCCCCCAGCCCCTCCTTTCTTTTTCCAAGGCTGTCTGTTGTGTGTTTCTGGTCCCTGATGGGGAAAGACAGACCCCTCGCCTCAGAAAGAGAAAGGAGAGTGCGGGGGTGGATGGGTCTCTTATACCTGAGTGAGCCATGCTCAGCCCCTCTCTCTTTCTCTCACGACAGCCTGCACAGACGTGGGCTGTTGTGTGTCTCGGCTCTGCTGTGACATCCTCAGAAAGACAAAGGGGGGGGGTCTGTTGGTCCCCATCACCAATAGTGTGTCGTGTACAGTCTTACTTTGAAAACCCACGAATGTCGAACCGCCAAGTGTCGACTGTAATTACTTTTTGTGTCCCTTGGTAACATTTTCACTGCTTCAGTGCCACTTTCCTGTGGGATTCCGCAGGGCTCGATTCTTGGACCCCTTCTGTTTTCACTGTATCTGCTCCTTTTGGGGTCTGTCCTGAGGAAACATGGTCTTTTGTTTCATTGTTATGCTGATGATTGTCAGATTTATCTGCCCTTAAAACCAAATAGTTCTTGCTCCATTCAACCTCTGTCTTGATGACATTGAGACTTTAAGCTTCAAATTGTTGAAGTTTCAATGATCAGAAGACTGAAGTCGTGTTTAGCTCTAATCTGTCTCTGATCTTATAAACCTTGACTCTCTGGAACCATATCTTCAACAGTCTGTTACAAATCTCAGGACGGTTTTAGACTCTGACTTTAAGTTTAATAACCAGATTAACTCTGTTTTACAGAAATCTTCCAGTTAAGACCGATATCTAAGCTGAAGTCCGTGTTGACCAGATCTGACCTTGAAAAACTGGTCCATGTCTTCATTACAACCTGATTACTGTAACACTCTGTATGTTGGGGTCAGTCAGGTCTCCGTGTCACGTCTCCAGCTCGTCAGCTCTAAACAGGAACTAGTAGGTTTGAGCACGTTTCACCAGTTCTGTCCTCCCTTCACCGGCTCCCTGCACGGATCAGCATAGATAAAAATATTCTCCTGTTGACCTTTAAGTACCTAAATGACCTTGCTCCCTCATGTCTCTCTGACCTACTTCAACCATTTGTTCCTTCTCGGACACTGAGCTCATCTGAGCTGCTGCTTCTGGTTGAAGGTCAGAGGAGGTCAGGCGTTTTCAGTCGTGGTCCTGAACTCTGGAACTACCTGCCCCCCCCCCCCACAGGACACTTCACTTCCTGTTTATAAACCTCACACACCTGTCTTCACAGGTGTTTGACACGATGTGATTTCATTTACTCTTTTATTTTGTGTTTTTTCTTTTGATGCTTTAATCACATGTTGTTGTTATTCTTTAATTAGTGTCATTGTTTTTATTGTTAATCTCTTTGGGAACAGCTGCTGTTTGAGATGTGCTTTATAAATAAATTTGACTTGACGACTTTTCCCAACAAAGCCAGCTGCAGTAGTTGTTTCCTGTATATTTCATCACTTCCTGTTGTTTCTGTAACACCTGGGGGTAAGGACTTGACCTGCGCAGCGTTGCCAGGTTTTCCCTGTTTAGTGTCCGTCGTCTGAAGCTCACGTATCGGCTCGTTGCCACAGAGAGCGGAGACGACACGTGAGATTTGTCTGAATGAAACGGGATGAACTTTTACCGTCTATTTCCTGTTCAGCTGCTCCACAGGGGGGGTCCCTTCATCAACTCCCTGCTTCATCTGGAGGAACTGGGCTTCCGCAGCTCCTCCCCCACCATCAAGAAGATCGCCTTCATCGCCTGGAAGAGTCTCATTGATAACTTTGCCCTCAACCCAGGTGAGCTCACCTGTCCCCGCCTCCCCCCGGACTCTTGACGTGTAACGTGACCTGTTTGAACCTCTTCCAGACATCCTGTGCAGCGCCAAGCGTATCAAGCTCATCATGCAGCCGCTCATGTCCATCCATGTCCGGACCGAGGCCCTGCTGCTGACCAAGGTGGAGGTGTGGTGGTACCTGGTGGTGCAGCTGGGACACAACCTGTTCTCCAACTTTGATCAGGTCAGCTGACTAAATATTTAACAGCTAAACGAGGAAGTTGAGTGTTTAACGACGCGGCGTGTCCCTCTGCAGGTCTCTGTGCCTCTGCTCCAGGCCACCATCGGGTCGGACTCCTCGGTCCCTGGTACTCCGTCTCGAGTCGGTCAAAACGGAGCCGTCTCACCCGGCACACCGAAGTCTGGTAGGCTCCCTCTTCTTTGCACCCCCCCCACCCCCGACGCAGCGCTCAGTTGTCCTAAAGCTGTTTGTCTTCAGCAGGCAGCTCGTGCCTCAACAGTTCGGCCGGCACCCCTCGGATGAGCTTGAACTCCAGCGTGCACCTCGCTGCCAGCTTCCCATCCATCCAGCTGCTGGGCCTGGAGATGCTGCTTCACTACCTTCAGGGACCAGAGGTTGTTGCCTCTGCAGCCAAGAACAAGCTTGTTCTGAGTCTGGGTGCGTCCGAGCCACACGGAAGCTCTTCATGAGTCGTCTGTTGGTGTCGGGGCTGTCCACTTCGTCCTGTTTGTAGTTTCAGTTCAAGTTTTGGTTGAAACCGTCACAGAAGTGACAAAAATTACGTAGTTCAGGGACAAAAACGTTAACGTAACCCTGGTTCTTTTCCCAACTGGTGTTTCACTGGGAAACGTTCCAGTGTGACCAACTATGTAAGCTGTTGACAGACTGGTTGAGCCGTGCTTAAGGCTCCGCCCCCTCCATGATACCACTGTCAACTGTCCAACTCCTACGCTCGTTCTTGGACAGTTTCTTTCCAGCTCACTCATCAAAGAACCAGAGTTTTCCATAAGTAACCAATCCGGTCGTCCACTTTTCTGCCCTCGCTGGGTAAGGACGGGTGTTTCCTACCAGCTGCTGCTGGAAGGCGTGCTTGGCCCGAGGCCCTGGGTTCTCCCCCTTCTACTGCAGTTTGAGTGCATCAGTGCTGTCCCCTAGCTGCTGCAGCAGCCGCTGCAAACCCAGGTCAGGGTCTCAGCGCAGGACGAGACTAGAAAGGTTAAAGGCCTCACCCTCCAAGTCTCATCTTCTCCAAGGCCGGCCCAAAAAGACCTTTGGTTGCCTTGTAGGCAGTGTCCAGAACTTCTGCTTTCTGGGAGTCCCTCAGGCCTGAAGGGTTCAGCCACAGAGACCTTTCACCCACAACAGTGACCTGACAGCTCCTGTGGTGAGAGCAGGGTGTGACCATATACAAAACATCTCATCCCACAATGTGGGGTGACCCCAACCCATCTCCAGGATCTCAGCTGGATATCAGTGACTGCTCTGAGAGGACACAGACGGTCCTGCATCCAGTCCATCCTCCGATTAACCCACACAGTGAGGCAGCTGGGAAACAAATGTTAGTGGATGCTGAAACTGACCCGCTGTTGGGGCGTCTGCCACTGAGGTCTCCACAGCTGGACCACTGAGGTCTCCACAGCTGGACCACTGAGGTCTCCACAGCTGGACCACTGTGGGCTCCACAGCTGGACCACTGTGGGC